AATATTTTCTACAAAATTTCTCGAAGATTCAGACCGGTAAATGTAGTTAATACTTTTTAATTAAAAAAAAAAAGTAAAACATTTACTTAATTACATTGTGTATATTAAAATAACGTACAAACAGAAAATATATTAAATAATTATTAGACTTAATCCATTTCGTAATATATATATATATATATATATATATATATATATATATATATAGAGAGAGAGAGAGAGAGAGAGAGAGAAATAAATAAATAAATAAATAAATAAATAGTAGATAGAGCTATACTTAGATAGATAGCCTAATAGGTTTCGCATGTCTTATGCATCAAAATGGTGTTGTGCCGGTTGACAACGAAAGTATAGTTTTTAGGGCGTTGTGTTTCTTGTGCCCGTAAAGCCTTTTTACAGATTTCGACGATGTGCCTTCCATTAGTTGGAAACAAATAACTGTTCCTTATTTTCTTTAAACGCATCTCCCCCTCCTCCTTCACACAGAGTGAGTGAGAGAGAGAGAGAGTGAGAGAGAGAGAGAGAGAGAGAAACATATCTCTTCTTCTATTTCTCCTCCCACTTTCTTCTATCAACAGATTCGCGGCATTCCAGCTCCCATCGAGTCAAAATGACATCGTTACAGCTTTGAAGAACAGCCAGGCTTTAGCATCCGGTCTCAATAAAGCGTTAATGGCGCACTGCCAACGCAGAGGAGGGAAAATGTTTATCCTTCTTCAAACCCTCCTCATCTTCACCCGTTCCTTCCTACCCTCATCGCTCCAACAACCGAAACTTTTGACAGAAACCGGATGCCACGAGAAAATCACGCACGAAAAATATATCCACGCACAGGTCGCCCCGGTCTTTTGTTATTAAAAGGCCGGGGTCAAGTTCAGGTCGTAGGCGCTTGTTTTTTTTTTTTAATCTGTAAAGGTTACTCGTGAGGTAATGAAGACACGGAATGCGCGCTTGCCTCTGGAAGTGCCGAGTGTTAATCACTGAAACTGGCGCAGTACAATCTTCTATGTTGTAACCTGTCGTGTGGCAGCAATGGAAAGAAAGGGCTAACAATTATAAAAAGACAAAATACACAGTGATCATAGAACGATTTAGTTGATTTTGTTTAGCGGCATATGAACAGCTTAATGGGTTATTTAATTCCAAAATCTAAATATTATGAACACAAATTTGTGGCTTCAACTACAGATGAAATTTATTTACTTTAAAATTGTATTGTTGTTAATTCTGTCTTAAAAATGTATTGTTGGTAATAATATATATGTAAATATGTATCATTGGTAATTTTTTTTTTTATATAAAAATGTATCGCTGGTATTTTTACTATAAAAATGTATTTTTACTATAAAAATGTATTTTTATACTTTCATAGTGTTTGGGGGTTCATTATATGCCCATAGCTGGGACCCTAACAGGTGCTACCACTCCGGCTCAGGATGGACCTGGGGACAAAAGCAATTAAGTGGTGGTTCCGCGCTCCTCAATATCTCCAAGCTCCTGATCAGAGACCTTGCTGCCTGATGTAGTTTGTCGTCATGCCCAGGACTAACCAGAAAAAAAGCAGAAAAATGTGTGCAGCATAAAGCGGGAACATTAAATCCAAACAGAAATTAACTCGCTGGGTAGTTTAGCAAAATACTACCGCAAATGTACTACAGAAATCCAAAGATGCGTAGTCAGATAAAATGATGCATTTTTTATAGGAAATGAATAAAACGCTTCTGAAATGTTAAATAACTACTGTATTTAGCTGAAATAGGCGCCATGTTGATGAATGACTGTTCTTCAACATATCTCTAAATCAAGGGTCGGCAACCTACGGCCCGCGGGTCGGATCCGGCCCGCGAAGGCATTTTGGCCGGCCCACGAGCCTGATTACCAATGACTCTCTTTTTAAAATGAGAGACGAGGCTTTCGAATTCGACAAAAGGCCTGCTGTTATCTCAGTCTAATCTTTTTAGTGCACTATCTGCAATGTTATCTTTCATGAGACTTATTTTACCAAGTTGCGTTGCCTACGTTTAATGTCAAATAATGGATACATATTTGTTATGACCCTTGGCTACATTAAAAGATAACAGAAGCCAAAGGAACGATAAAGTGTAAGAGGCCAGGGAGGGACTGACATGCGAGGTAGCAGAAATCTAAAGACAGTTAAACATACGCGCATTATACATACATGCCTCATGAATGCGTGGATGATACCGCATGTGTACGTACGTAAGTGTATATGCTTGCAACTATTTGTAATCTTATGTATGGGTATATGTGCTTCGTTTTTGTTTGGTGTGTGTGTGTGTGTGTGTGTGTGTGTGTGTGTGTGTGTGTGTGTGTGTGTGTGTGTGTGTAACAATTTTCAATAACAGTTTCAAACCTACACGTCATAATTTCATCCATTTCACTTCGGTTGATTTTTTTTTCACTTTGAAGTATTTTGACGTTCCTTGAGGAAAAGTAATTTTTGTTAGGTGTTTTTTAATTTTAGATTTTCTTTTTGTTTTTCTGATTTCTCAATGTTTATTTTCATTATGGTTTTAAACATTTAGGTTGACAGGTATCTGCATATGTAATTTTCCTTAATTTTTCATTAATGGCCTTCGTCTGGCTCGCGA